CTATGTATATCATTTCTAGAAAGAGTATCTGTCACTTTAAATTCATGAATGTTGGATTGTTACAGCTGCTCTGACAGAGTTTCATTTGTGTTGTTGCTTCGTATCATGTAGGAATCTAGTAGCCAACAACTTCACATTTGATGGGTCAAACACAAGGTGAGTTGTAGTTCTCAAGTATCTGTTTGAGTTTTACTCTTCTATCCACCTTAATCTAAAGGCATAAGAAAATTGGTTGTGATTTTTTCCACATAGGAAGGCATTCTTTTATAATTGATAGCACTAATAAGAAATAACTATTTTATTTATTTTTAGTCTTTTACCAGGATTGAATTGCCTTCAAAGAAGCTTCCCGTGCAACAAGAACTCTCCACGCTGTAAGCTCCTTTTGCTGCATTTCCTTGATATATCATATACTTGGCATTATGCTGTAAACACAGAAAGAAACTTCTAGTAGAGGGGAAAAGGCACAGAAAATTGTATTTTAGAGTGTCCTTAGACTCTCAGTGACAAATTATCCATTCCTACTTTCCTAGTATCAATAATTCTGAGCTTGACCAATTGAAATATGCATGCAGCAATGGCAATTGTAAAAAGACATTAAGTTCATCCTGCTAGAACTTGAAAGGAGTCAAAATTTACTTCTTGTTTTTTAATCTGTTATAAAATGACAACTTCAGTAACCTACTGGGCAAGCATTTCTGTTGCTGGAATTTTAATTGTTGTTCTTGAGTAACTTCCCAAGCATATTAAAATATTCATGTTGGCAGATGCAAACTTCTCAGTCAAGTGTGGTGGGCTGGAGATGACTGTTGATGGGATAAAATATGAGGCTGACAACTCTTTTCTTAGCAATGCGTCATTTTATGTAATCAATACTGAGAAATGGGCAGTTAGCAATGTGGGTTTGTTTTCTGAGGATAATAATCTAGGCTACATGCAAAACACCTTTCCACAAGTGAGAAACACAAACTCACCGGAGCTTTATCAAACTTCGAGGATATCCCCTGGATCACTCAGATACTATGGCTTAGGCCTAGAGAATGGGCCTTACACAGTTAACTTGCTTTTTGCAGAAACAACTTTCAAAGATCGAAGCACACAAACTTGGGAGAGTCTAGGAAGGCGAGTTTTTGATATTTATATTCAGGTAAAATTGCCATAAGAATTGTAAGCCATTGTCTAGATTGCATTTATGGATCATTTTATTCAAGTCCTCAATGTAACAAATGTTTGTAAAATTACGAATTTGCAAACTTAATTTCTAGATTTTTCAGATTTTAATCATAATCAACTGTTCCAGGGAACAATCGTATGGAAGGATTTTGACATATCAAAAGAGGCAGGTGGGGTTGAAAGAGCAATTAATAAGAGTTTCATTGCTGCTGTGACAGAGAACCATCTTGAAATTCACCTGTTCTGGGCTGGTAAGGGAACATGTTGCATACCACTTGATGGTTACTATGGACCATCCATTTCAGCAATCAACGTGGTATCAAGTAAGAAATGAGATGACAGAAGAATCTTTGTTTAAAATCTTAATTCATGCCTATCTCTGTTTGCCACTACTAATGCCTGAAACCTGTTGATCAGGTTTCAAACCAAAAGAGAATAGGACTGGGTTGATTGTTGTTGTTGTAGTTCCTGTCGGAGTTGTCACCTTCACCTTGATATTGATATTTATAGTCTTCTACTTGAGAAGGAGAAATGATGATGATGAGGAAGGTAAGAGTCCTAAAAAGTGCAATGGTAGTAGTTAATTAGTCATGATATTATTACCAAGAGCTTGGCTAAATTGATACTCACTAAAAAACCTTTGATTTGGGGTCAAGGTTAGAGATTAAAACCTCTATCATGTCAAACAGCTATCTCTCTAATGTGCCAAAAAAGAAAAAAAGAAAAAAAAAAAGGTCATGATATTATTTGGTGAACTGATTCATATTAATATACTATGGTGGATCTGGCCTCAGTGCCGTTGAGCGAAGTTCTATGCTCTCAAACCAGGTTCTAGCTTAAGCTCTTACTGATCTTTAGACATAATTCTTTTCTTCTTTATTACAAGGAAGGGATATTCTAGTAGTTAAGAAGATTGATCTCCCTTGATGGAGAGAGAAATTGATTTTTTCTTTTTCAACTTCTTTGACAATGTTGCTGCTCAATCTTTTGGCAATGCATCACTTGGGACTAGTATTCCTAATGCTCAAAAGAACAAATTTTATAATTATATATAGGAAGTAAATTTTATTTGAAGGTTAAATCCCAATTTTGGTCCCTCAACTTTAGGGTTTTGCACAGTTTTGATCCCTCAACCTTTTTATGCACTTGTTTGTCCCTTAACTATGAAAAATGCACTTTTTTGTTCCTTATCTATGAAAAATGCACTTTTTTTAGTTTTTTTATCAGCTAGTTTGTTAAGTCTGTCTAAATATGCACATGTTTAATTCTTGAACTTTTAAGTTGAGGGACGAAAAATGTGCATATATTATAAGTTGAGGAACTAGAAATGTGCATATTTAAATAAATTAAACAGATTAACTGGTAAAAGGGCTAAAAAGGTGCATTTTTTGTAGTTGAGAGATTAAAAAAAATGCATAAAAAAGTTGAGGGATGAAAACTATACAAAACCCTAAAGTTGAGGGATCAAAATTGACATTTAACCTATTCTGAGCAGACTTAACGGATTAATTAATGGAATGATTAAAAAAGTACATTTGTTTTATAGTTGAGGGACAAAAAAGTGCATAAAAAAGCTGAGAGATGAAAATTGTGCAAAATCATAAAGTTGAGGGACCAAAATTGGCATTTAGCCTATTCTTATTTACTCATTAAATTTCTTATTAATATATGAAAAGGACAAAAAAAAAAAAAAAAAAAAGAATTAGAAATTATGCAATGGCCTATGGCCTTTAAACTTGAGATGTTGAATCCTAGGACCAGTGTTTGTAAAATTTGAACATTATATAATTATCTCCTATTTCATCAGTAGATTTTATTCCAACTTCTTATCTTGAATTTGCAGGGCTTCTTGAAATAGGACCCAGACCAAACACCTTCAGTTATGCCGAGTTGAGAGCTGCAACAGATGACTTCAGTCCCTCAAATAAGTTAGGAGAAGGGGGATTTGGTCCAGTATACAAGGTAAGCTATTGGCTTAGAATCTTAAATCTGTTTTTAATGAGATTGAAGATTTATATGACAATGTTACTAAATAAAGCACTTTAAATACATTATAGGGTAAATTTTCTGATGGGCGAGTAGTAGCTGTGAAGCAGCTTTCAGTAGCATCTCACCAAGGGAAGAGTCAATTTGTTACTGAGATTGCTACCATATCTGTGGTGCAACATCGCAACCTTGTTCAACTGTACGGATGCTGCATTGAAGAAAACAGATGCCTCCTTGTTTATGAGTATCTTGAGAACAAAAGCCTTGACCAAGCACTCTTTGGTATTACTGAACAAGTTATTTGCTCCCTTTCAGCCTTTATACAGGAAAATGAAACATAGCTGCATCTGAATTCATTTCTTCACCAAATTAATTGCTCTCCATAACATTTCCTGCCTCACATATGCAGGAAAAAATGACTTGCATCTTGATTGGCCAACCCGGTTCAGTATCTGCCTAGCAACTGCAAGAGGACTAGCTTATCTTCATGAGGAATCAAGGCCAAGGATCATACACAGAGACGTGAAGGCAAGTAACATTTTGCTTGATGCTGAGCTGTGTCCAAAAATATCTGACTTTGGATTGGCAAAGCTATATGATGACAAGAAAACTCACATCAGCACTCGGATTGCAGGAACCATGTAAGTTCCTTGAATCACTATATGAAAAGAGTGTCTAATTGTTTGTTTGCATTATATTGTAGCTTGTATATGTTATTTGGTTTCATAGCGTCAAACCATCAATGGAAACCAGAGACTTCGTATCATACAGAGAAATTATCTCAACAAACCTTCATCATGCAAATTTAATAGCTTAATTGCAATATTGGCAGTGGCTATTTGGCACCAGAGTATGCAATGCGTGGCCACCTCACTGAGAAGGCAGATGTCTTTAGCTTTGGTGTTGTTGCTTTGGAAATCCTCAGTGGAAGACCAAACTCTGACAACAGCCAGGACCATGACAAGATCTATCTTCTTGAATGGGTAAAGAAAGAAATTCTTTTCCTTTTTTCCTTCCTTATAGATGCATTCCTTGGGCATGAGATTTACTTATACAATGTTTCTAGGCATGGACTTTGTATGAAAGCAACCAGAGTCTAGGTCTGTTGGATCCAACCCTTGTGGAGTTTGATGAAAATGAGGCTTTAAGAATGATAAGAGTGGGACTCCTGTGCACGCAAGCATCGCCAATGATGCGACCACGCATGTCAATGGTTATAGCTATGCTTGCTGGGGATCTCGAAGTGAGCTCTGTTGCATCAAAACCAAGTTATTTAACTGGCTGGGATTTTAAGGACATAACAGCCAGCAACGAGGTTGAAAACACCCATCTACTAGATCTGAGCACAGTGATAACAGAACAAGAACAATCTTAATCTAGGGATAGAGCTGGTGCCTTCTCCATTAAATATCACTGAATTCAGTGATATTATTACGGAAGGAGGGTGAGAGATGTTTTTCCTTAAATTCTCCATTTTGCCACTTCTCGTGCTTCGACCTCTGTCACATATTTCCTAGCTCAATAAAGTAGATACTAAAATTCTGTGAATTTCTGTCATTCAAACCCTTTATATGTTGATTATTTCTCTTTCTATAAATTGAACGAGATATTGAAATATCGGAATGCAATAAGGCTGCTGTGTTTGTAACTCATGGAAGTCATTCCAATCATGTAGGAAGTCATTCCTATCACGTAGTAATATACTTCAAAGCTAGAGGATTGTTTGTAATTCCATGTAACATAATTGTTTTTTTTCTAGGGTTTTCTTTTTAATCTTTGTTATGTTTTTACACACCACCTCTAGCACATGCCGCACACCACCTACTCCAGCTAAGATATCAGCTCCTATGTTTGCAACCGGCCCCAAATCAATCTCAACAGTCGCACCAGCACCACATGACTCCAATCTGCGGAGCCAAAGCAGTAGCACTTCCTAATCTTTCAGCAGTTCCGAATCTTTCAGCAGTGCCTTCTTCCCAAAGAAAGAATTCAACCCTGCAAGAAGAATTACAACTGCTGTAGCAAACTCAGAAATTCATTTAGCGTTCTTTGCAGTATAGGTGAGTCTCGTGTTGAGTTCTATCGTAGAGACAACAACCTACCTCCAAAAAGAGAGCGGGCACTGAGCAATGTGCCTCTGATGCTCTTGTTGGAGGTGGCGGTGTGGCACTTGCTGTAGATGGACTGGTGGAGCTGTGGCTTCCAAGAGCCAGAGTTGCAGCACTAAATGGAGCTAAGGGCCGAAAAGAGGAAGCTCAATGATTGCCTTTCAACTGGATTTCTGAGTTGTGTTTTGATATCCCACTAACTAGAATTTCATACTTCACTGGATTTTCTGAGTATGTAGGAGTATACGCTAGAGAGGAACTGGTGTACATAGGAGAAATACATTTTTGCATCTGCTGCATTGATAAGGTGCAGATGGCTTTGAGTTTTTGCATTGAGAAATATGCCTGGGTGTAGAATGTTAATGCATTGAGAAATATGCTCCATTGATAAGTGTAAATAAAGTCGTGTTTTCCTTTCCCTCGGTAGCTATATCACTGGACTGAAAACAAGAATCATTGCATGAAAATACCCCAATATTAGGGGTTCAGCTGACCCACCAAATTATATAGATTATGCAGTTTAGTATAATCTAAATTGTATAACTCTTTTTGCATATGAAGTATAATAATTTAAGTTTATAAAAGAATTTTTTGTTTTACAATTTAACCATCTAATGGTAATTTAAATAAAATATATAAGATTACAGATGTGCTAGTAGAAGTTTTATTTATATTGACCATTTCTGAAAGATCTCTACATGTTGATAGGATTAAAGCATTCAGTCTTACCCTTGATGATGTTAACAAGGATGATGCTATGGGAGGTTTAGAGTTGATTGGAAAGCAGAATTTGGGTGATCCTTTGTCCTTCTGTTCAAAACAAACTCTATCAAAGGGTTTACTATGGATGGCAATTGGCAAGTAGTTATTAGCATCTATATTCTTGTTAAGGTGACATAGTTTTATTAATATTTAATTAATTCATAATTTTTTAAATAATTAATTATAACATCTAAAAATATTTATATATAAAATAATTTAATATATTAAGTAGTAAATATTAATTATTTTTATAAAAAATAAATATTTTTAATAATTAAATTGATAA